TTTTGCAGATGTGCCTTAGCGTGGAGTCGCTGATCTACCAGTGCCTCTTTGCCGTGTCCACCAAACTGCTGCCCTACGAGTCGATCATCGCCGCCATGGCCGCCACCAAGTGGGACCTGAAGGAGATTCCCTGCATTCACTCGCGCTACGTGGACACCTTCATCGGGGAGATTCGCGCCTTCAATGACCGCTACATCAGTCTCCTGCAGACGTACGACCTGGGCTTTATGCTGCCCGGCGGCAGTGCAGCTAATCTCTCATCCGCACAACAACAACCACCACCGAGCACAACGTTTCAGCAGCAAAACGGTGGTAACTTAGACAGTGCAGACAACAATGACGTCCTCCTCTCCTCATTGCCATCGCCGCTGGAGAAGCTGGAGGCGACCTCGCAGCGCATCAACCACCTCCTCTGGGAGTGCCTGACCCGGGTCTCCAATCGGTGCTTCGTGGAGGGCTTCGCCAGCGCCCGGAAGTGCACCAACGAGGGGCGGGCGCTGATGCAGCTCGACTACCAGCAGTTTCTCTCGCACATGGAGAAGATCATCAGCGAGTACTTTGTCGGTCCTGGTGGCGGAGGAGTAGTTCCTGCTTCATCTTCAACGCAAAACAGCAGCAGCAGCAGCTCCTCCTCAGCCGCCTCGTCGCTGCGCGCGGCCAAGGCGTTGCTCACCGCGGAGAAGGAGTTTGTGGAGGAGTACGTGAAGGCGTACTACCTCACCGAGGCCATCTTCCTGCACTGGGTGGGCGAGCGGTCGGAGTACACCAGCCGGCAGATTGTCTCGCTCGTCAACTGCATTGCGGGTGATAATCGCCGCCTCAAGGCCTCGCTCCTCGCCGCCATTGACAGTGCTGGCAACGCTGCGGCGGCGGCGGCTGCTCCATCAACTTCTTCTTCCACCGCTGCCGCTGCCGCCAATGCCAACGGCTCCTTTGACATGAGCACCTCCACTTTAAGCTGAGAGATGATTTACGATGATGGTTTCCGCTGTTTCTGAGAAACAACTGTGTTTAGCTGAAAGCCTTTTTCTTTCATTCCCAACCAAAGGATCACTCTATCTCAAAATTGTGCTACTTTTTTCTATCTGCTTTTTGTACCTAACTCACCCTTTTTTCTGACCTGACCATTGTTCTCTTCTATCTCATCAACCNATTTCCGCTGTTTCTGAGAAACAACTGTGTTTAGCTGAAAGCCTTTTTCTTTCATTCCCAACCAAAGGATCACTCTATCTCAAAATTGTTCTACTTTTTTCTATCTGCTTTTTTGTACCTCACTCACCCTTTTTTCTGACCTGACCATTGTTCTCTTCTATCTCATCAACCTATTCTCTCTTTTTCATTTATCACTCTATCTCCCGGTTATTCTGTTTTTCAATTCTTTTTGTTGTGTTCCACAGCGGCGCTTCTATTCTCATTTAAGTCATAATGCTTTTTTCTTTTGGGACCATGTCTCACTTTTTTTTTGGTTGGGTTTTTTCCGGTGATTTTGTTTTTGCATTTACTGTGGGTCAAAAAGTCCCTCATTCTGGTTCTGCAATAAAGAGTTGTGATAATTTTTTGCACTCATTTCTAAAGTTGGTCTCGCGGCGGGCACTTCCACCAGCACTTGTCTGGGCTAGTCACAAGATAGCAGCACTGCTGCTCCCTCAAAAAGTTTCTTCACTTCAAAAAGTCCCAACTTTCACTCACTGCAGCGTTAGCAGCGTAGCACCAGTCTGTCTGTCAGTGAGTTCCCTTCTGTTCCCCTCTGTTGCGAAGGAAAAGGTGTGGAAAGACATTGCAGCCAAACTTTTGCCTGCTTGTTCTGCTCGCTCTCTGCACTTTTGCCACTCGGATCTCCTCACTTCACTTCAGCTCGCTCTCATGTTCCTCCAGCCGCAGCTCTCCAGCTTCACCACCAGTGATCGCCGTCACACCGAAGTTGCCTCTCTCTCTCTCTCTCTTTCCCTCTGCTTTCTCTGTCTGCCAAACGTAGCGGTGGTGGCCAACGGAGCCGCCGACGACGACGACGACGATCAGCCACGACCAGCTCTCAGCTCAGCTGAACAACTCACGGAAGAGACCGGCGGCTGCAGCAGCTTCTGAGAGAAAGAGAGAAAGCAGAAGAGGATGTGAGTGCCTGCCAGTTTGCCTCACTGACTGATCTACACTGTCGCCTGGATCAAAGGATTGCCTCGTATTCGCCTCGATGCTCAACAGCAACAGCAAGCGGTGGTGAGAGAATCCAGTGGTGGTTTTCTCTCCGTCTGTACTCTTCAAGATGAAGCCTCTTCCTCTGGTTCTACTTCAGCTTCAGCACTGCCATTTGATTGCTCAGGTGGTCGTACACCAGTGGTGAAGTGCCGGCAGGCTGAAAGGGCCATCACCACCACCACCACCACCACCAGCACCACCTGATTCATCAGCTGAACTGCGCACAGCCTAGTGCATGGCGTTACCACCGGGTGCCAGTTATCATCAGTTGTCACCACCAGCTACAGCAACCTTTGCTGCTGCCGTTATCACCACCACCACCAGCGTTTCCATCATTCCTCCCCGTCATTCTCCAGCAGCATCATCAGCACCAGACGCAGCCGACGACGTCGTCTGTTAGTGCTGATGCAACCCGAGTCTTTGCTGGTGCACAGCCGTCCTTCTGCATCGCCTCCTTATTGCCTCCTCGTGATCTCTGCCACTTTGTCCACTTGAAGCACCTCCATCAACACTGCCCCCGAAAGCTTCCGATTGTCTCAAGTCTGAGCGAACTTCTGGGACGACGACGACCACCACCATTACTCAACGACGATTACTCGAGCTCAGCAGAGAACAGCTGGAGCACACTTCACACTCACTGATTGAGCACTTGCACACACACACTCACATTATTCCACTCTTTGGTAAGTCTTCGCCCTCTTTCGCTCTCTCACAATTGCCTGCTTTCCCCATTCGGTAACCTCGTTTAGGCCATTGTGTCTGCCTCTGTGTGTTACCTGTGTGTGTGTGTGCGTTGAAGTCTGCGAACAACTGTACCTGTACGAGAGACCGTGTCCTGCTGCTGCTGCTCCCACTGTTGCTGCAGTAGTACTTTTCTCGTTTCCTTGTGTGACAAACCCAAAGAGCGGCCTGGCTGCCGACACCGCCGTCTTTGCCGTAGCCGTCGTCGTCGTCGTGGTCGTCGTCGGCGTAGCAGACGCATTGTGACGAAACGACAAGCAAGCGCGCGCGGCTTACGTGATTTGCCTATGCCTATGCCTTCTCTCTATCTATCTCCCAATGTGCTCTCCGTCAAACTCTCTCTCTCTCACTTTTGCCATTTCTTTAACTACTAATCATTGGCGGTAATTACGCATCATAACTAAGGCTCTCTTCGGTTCTTTTTTTCCTTTTCTTACTCTGAACAAACACAGAGAACAAACACACATCAGCAGGGAAACCCTTTTAGAAGATTGCGAAAAGGAGAAGCCTAACCTCATTACACCTCAATGGGAACCAGCAGCAGATAATTGGATTATCCTCAGTTGTAAGTTTGTGTACCCAAAAGTGTGATTGATTCAAAGTGGCTAACCTTTTTCTTCTTTTTGGCAGGTGACAAGTTAACTTCTGCTGTTGAGCTGTTTGCTGTGAACCCCCAGCTGGTTTCTGAAAACACCTGAACTACAACTCACCACACCCTGCCAACTTTCTCAGCACTTGTGATACAAACACACCTTAACTCGCCTTTACCGCCCGATGCGGGGCAGACCGAAGAGGGCTTCCAGGAACGTCCAGGACACAATCTCTTGCCACTGTCACTGCCACTGCTTCTGACAGCAGCATGTCGGTGTTTCCGCAGTCGCAAGCCACGACCACCAGCGCGCACCTTCTCCACCACCACCAGCAGCACCACTTAATTGCACCCAATCACCCTCCTTATACCTCCCTGGAACCGTCTGCACTCATTCTCAACAGCCAGCACACTGCAATGCCTCAGCGAATTACCTCCTCAACTTCGTCGGCCATTTCCGGCTCAATGGCCCGTTCAGTGCCCGTCGGCAATGGCTTTGGGCCCAACGGCGCTGCTGCTGAGGCAGAGCCACCTTCCGGTGCCTTTCCGCCCATTGGCAGCCTGGGCGCCAGCATTGCCGCCTACCAGCCGGTGCTGGGGCAGCCGCAGCAGACGCTGCCCCAGCCACCACAACGCCACAACTCGGGCGCCATCATTGGGAGCACTGACTCGCTGGCGCTGCACGCCAATGGTAACGGTCCCTCCCTGCAGACGGCTGCCGTCTCCTCATCAATGGGCGTCGAAGCGGTGTCGTCCTCCAGTCAACAACATCAACAACAACATCAGCAACCGAATCATCAACAGCAACAGCAGCCACAACAGCAGCGCTCCCAGAGCTACTACATCAACCAGCTGCCGGTGCAGCTGCAGTCGGGCATCGAGCCGCCGGCGCCCATCACCACGCCCATCACCATCAACGCCTACAGCCTGCACGGGCCCGAGCTGGTGACGCTGGTCATTCGCAATGAGAACTTCTTTGACCGGGGCGCCTTTGGGACGGTCTTCCAGGCGCGGCTGATCAACCAGGACAACCGCCGGGTGGCGGTGAAGACCGTCCTCCAGGACAAGCGGTACCGCAACCGCGAGCTGCCGCTCATGAAGTCGCTGACGCACCCGAACATTGTCACCCTCTTCTACTACTACTTCTCCACCCGGTCCGCCGATCCAAGGGGTGATGTACGTGGTCTCTTTTGTGGAGAGAAGGAGCTTTGGACTTTAGTTTTTTTAATATTTTAATTTTTTACCCCCTTCTGCAGAAATGCCTGAACCTGGTGATGGAGTTTATGCCGTCGAACGTCTCGCACCTGATTCCGCGCAAGCCCAAGCAGCGCGACCCCAATTCGATTCCCAACACGCCGCTCGCCGTGAAGGTGGTCATGTACCAGATCTTTCGCGCCCTCAGCTACATTCACCTGAACGGCATCTGCCACCGGGACATTAAGCCGAACAATCTGCTCTTCAACCACGCTGACGGCGTCCTNAAAGGAGTTTTATTTGTAATGATTTCATTTTTTACCTCCCTTTCTGCAGAAATGCCTGAACCTGGTGATGGAGTTTATGCCGTCGAACGTCTCGCACCTGATTCCGCGCAAGCCCAAGCAGCGCGACCCCAATTCGATTCCCAACACGCCGCTCGCCGTGAAGGTGGTCATGTACCAGATCTTTCGCGCCCTCAGCTACATTCACCTGAACGGCATCTGCCACCGGGACATTAAGCCGAACAATCTGCTCTTCAACCACGCTGACGGCGTCCTCAAGGTCTGCGACTTTGGCAGGTTAGTGGAGGCTGTGACTTTTTGATGCTGTGAAGAGGAGCTTACTAATTTATGTGTTTTTGCAGTGCAAAACGACTCGTTCCTGGCGAGCGAAACGTCTCCTACATCTGCGCCCGGTACTACCGAGCACCGGAGCTGCTCTTTGGTGCAACGAACTACACGAATATGATTGGTCAGTGCNCGAAACGTCTCCTACATCTGCGCCCGGTACTACCGAGCACCGGAGCTGCTCTTTGGTGCAACGAACTACACGAATATGATTGGTCAGTGCCTTGTTTTCCATTTTCTTTATTTTTGTTCTAACCTTTTTCTCCTCATCTCAGATCTCTGGTCGGCGGGCATCGTCTTCAGCGAGCTGCTGCTCGGCTTTCCCATCTTCTACGAGAGCTCCGGCATCGACCAGCTGGTGAACATCATCAGCAAGCTGGGCACGCCCAAGACGGAGGAGATTCAGGCGATGAACAAGGACTACGTCAAGTTCAACCTGCCCGAGGTGCCGCGCATTCCCCTGCGCAACCTCTTCGCCAACAACGTCGCCAGCATCAGCGAGGTGACGCTCGACCTCATCGGGCAGCTCTTTCAGTACGACCCGCAGAAGCGCATTCGCCCGCTGGACGCTTGCGCCCACCCCTACTTTGATGAGCTGCGCGACCCAAGCAAGAAGTGGGTCAACGGCCGGGAGCTGCCGCGGCTCTTCAACTTCACCGAGGAGGAGCTGTC